ACACACACACACACACACACAAAACCCAGCATTTTTGTGTCTTTTATTTTATGTTTTCTTAATATTGCACATGTTGCTGTTGCCATTATGTTTCTGTACAACAAATGATCAAGATATTACCATGAATTATGACTCGAGTTTTTATTAGAGGCACGTGTAGAGATCTATTTTCGTCCGCGAGTTGAGGATGTATTCTAGCATATGTAAGTGTCCAGCTGTTGTCAGTGCCTTCACTACATGCTGAGTGATCATCAGAGATTCTATCAGTCATGATTTCTTTTGTAGATTTAGCTCAGTTATCAGAGGATCTGAGCAGATTCCTTCATGTTTTCGACAAGCCAGAATTAACTGAGGCACATGTAGTTTCTGTGCCCGGGTTTCATTTTTCTTTATCTTTGCTGGCACACTGCATACGTATGTTTTGGTTAACATTGTGCTTAGTAACATTGTACTCACCACAGCATCCATGTTAGATCACTGATGTATTAGCCTTCTCTGGAAATGCAAACCTTTTTCTCTAATTCTTTTTTTTTTTGGCTCAGTGTGTCACATGGATTAACGCATATGTATTAAAAAAAAAAAAAAGGCGTGTAAAGATCCTGGGACGTGAACTGTCCCGGCTGGAACAATGGACTCAGACAGAAAGCCTTCACCATTTTGTCTGTTTTTGTTGATATAGTTTTTTTCTTGGGGCCATATTTGCACTGACCGTTTGTTTGATGATTATTCTGCTGGGTTGTGCTTTTTTCCAGGGCCAATGCAGACCTCAGGTACATACAATCTGAAATGCCCTTGACTTTACAACCTCAATCACTGTTTGACTTCGTACTTCTACCTACTCTAAGAGGACTCTTTGTGTCAAAGCGCAGACTCGTGCGGAGTTTGACTTCAAGGAAAGCATGCCAAGAGCAAAAGCTGAAGAAATCTCTCAATAATGTGTATAATCTCTGGATTTTTTCTTAGTACTTTACTCTGTGACAAGTCACCCTGCCCTATTCCTCCCAACCAGACAATCAATTGAGAATGTCTATGTCCCTGTATGTGCAGTGTATCCATGTCTACGTCTTCCATCACAGCAAGATGTTGTATAATTGTCCATGGCAGAAGAGAAAGAGATATAAACTGGGTGGGAGGGATTTAAAAAAAAATATCTTGCTTTAGAAAACACACTACGCACGCTCTTATGATTGAAGTTCTTACTTTTTATATATAAGTTACTGTAATTAAAAATGAATGCTACTTACTTGCTTGACTTTTTTGATCTTTTGCAAATGCATGAACATTACTCCCTGTAAATACACTGAAATATACATTTCATATAACAAATGAATGCATAATAAGAACATTGAAACTGACATTTTGTGTGCATGATAACAAACTAACAGCAAGTTGAAGAAATACATCTTTATTTTTCATACAGCAAATTTTTTATTAAGGGTGTAGTGAGGGCCCAAGACCAGAACAAGTGTACACACTGGTCTTAAAATGCCATGTGTAGTGATTAAACTGTCGATCTGAAGATGAGGCAATAAGTCACAACTCATGTCCACAATTTGAAGAATGCAGCAGGTACATGATAATTTTACAGTAGGTATGTATGTGTCATTAAGGCAAAAGTCCGGTCTCCATGATCCTCTAGCTCTACAAAAAGTTAAGTTAGGTGGCAAAGGACAATATTTATAGCATCAGTTGTACAAATGTATATACAAGAGGGACTTAGCGATAAAGATCACTTGTGTGCCTTTTTTGGATGCATCTCTCCCCTCACCCCGACAGTCAACGTCATTTTAATATCGACACTGAGATGCAACACTTTCATAAGGACCTGAAGGTGAAATGCAGAGGTCCTCTACAGTACATTCTTTTACTGTCCTATGGCAAAAGAAAAGATTTCTAACAGTCATTTGGACGACGGACAAGCAACATCAATGGTATAAATACATTGCAGTATTTTTCTTTGACCATTTTTATTCATCCATTTCTCAAGTGCAGGTAAGACTGTGGTCATTTAAATATCACCACAACAAACAGAGGGACAAAAACAGACATGGAAATATATATATATTAAATATATGAGCATCTGTTCTGTAAAATAAAATGGTCCCAAAATACTTCCATGAGAGTTTGCAGCAGTAAAGGAGATCCCAGATTTAAATGGCATTTTTTTTCCTCAGTACTGGCCAAGTTTTGTCCGGTTCCATCCAGACAAGGGGGATCTGTTGGACAGTAAAAGATGTCCTGGGATAGATGACACAGGGAGGCTGACGACGGAGGGCTTGTGGGAATCGGGGGTGTGTGGAAATGTGGACAGATCAGATGACAGGTGCGGAGCGGTCGTTGGTGACGGTTGGACGTAGCCTGACTGTAGCGAACGGGTTCCCTCCCCTGTGGAAACGCAGCAGAGAAGAGTGGTGAGTGCATGCCAGAGTGACAGAAAGACACATCATCTCGTTCATGTTGTTAAACGACTTACGCGAGGTAAGCGGGCGGAGGTCTCGAGAAGCCATTAGGCTGGATTGTCTGTGGAGAAAACAGATATAGAAAACAATCTGTTATAACTACTGTGTGACACATGACGCTGTATGAATACCTCAACCATGCCCAGATCCATTTACATGTGTTTGATGTACAGTATAACACACACACACACACACACACACACACACACACAGTTCTCTCTTTTAGGCTGCTGAAGGATTGGACACACTGGACGATGGGCGAGCGTGGGAAAGGCAGCGTGCTGTGACATATCACAAGATGGTGTGTGGAATCTGGACCTTCTGGAAATTCAAGTCTGTTCCGCAATCAAGCCACGTAATGTTTTATGACGAGCCCAAGTCCGTGCCACTGAAGACACATGCACACACACACGTTGTGTAAGGACATCTTACACTGGAGAGGAGGATAATGTTCAAGACTGTAGCCATTTCTTTTTTTTTACAGAAATATCATTTTCATTGAAAAAGGGTTAGAAGCGTTTTTGCATATTTTGTTTTTGCAGATTTAAGCCAAATATAGTCTGACAAGTCAAGTCAATTTATATAGCCCAAAATCACAAATCACAATTTGCCTCAGGGGGCTTTACAATCTGTACAAAATTAAACCTCCTCTGTCCGTCCGCCCTCGATTTGGGTAAGGTAAAAAAAAAATCCTTTTAACAGGAAAAACATGGAGGAAACCTAAGGAAGAGCCACAGAGGAGGGAGCTCTCTCCCAGGAAGGACAAACATATAGATATAGCCATGTACAGTGAAATATTAGGGTAAATACAGGTGTTAACAATGATACTACCTTAATTAGTGTCCCTGATAAAACCTGTGTTTACCCTACTATTTAAAGTCAAAATGGCTGCTGTGAGAAAGATCTATTACACCCTAAAATGAAATAAAATAAGCCATCCCGATGTCCATCTGAAATTACTCTAACCATACAGATCTTGTATCTTTTGGGTCCTGGTTACAAATAGAGATAATGTATGAGAGGGACAACACAACCAAACAAACCAACAACCTAAATCCATTAAAGACACAAACACACATAATCAAATGAACTGAGTATAGAGTTTGGCTTTTTCTGCTGTCGTAAGAAAACACATCAGAAAGGAATGTTAATTCATACAATCATTGATATGCAACCCATTTAGCAGGATTACAGTTACAGAAAGGTTTTTACTTTATTTTTATTTGCCAAAAACAGCTTTTTCTTTTTTAATCAGAGAGGCTGAGAAAATGCAAGGTCCTGAAATAAACTTTTATGTAAGAGGAATCCATCTAATTGGTCACATATAGTTACTACTACTAGTATACTCTATGACTTAACAACAAAACAACAAGAGTTTATGTGATTGTTGACCTTCCTGGATTCCAGTCCTGTCATCCAGTTATCAACCTGCAGTACTACAGAGACTCCACAAGAGGTCAGAAGCGTATAGAGTGACTGATGAGTCCTCCACACTGTTCCAGTCCCTCTCAATGTGAGCAATGATATTTCCCACAGGACATGAAGAGCTTCAGATCTGTCCTCCTCTTACAGATGTTTGGATTACAAATCACATAGCAACAATCGTGCCTGTAAAAGGACACGTTTCTTTACTCATGTGAACAGAATTTATTCTACAAATAACATTTAGTGCCTCTGCTTTTCTCAAACCATGACTGCAGTTTAATATACACTTGCACAGTCAACATGTAATTCGTGGCTCAGCCAGGGAAACCAAGAATGTCTTCATCTCTGTATGTTCTGCTCTGTTAAACGTTCAATACAAGTTTTTCTTCTTTCCTTCACGCTGATACTCAAAAGGTCAACAGCGTCTCTACCCCTTTTTGACTTTCTCTGTAGATCTCAATCTCTCTGTTCACCCTCTGTCTCTCGGTTTCCATCCTCTAAATGTACCCATTCCTGTGAGTCGTTATCTTCTCCTCGACACAAAGCACCAAACCAGTGAGGGTGCATTTTTTCTCATGGTGACAGTGCATTCCACCTCCCCCGGCCCTCCTGTCTCCTCTCCACTTCCTCCCTTCCTCTCAGCTTTCCCTCTCTGGATCAACCTGTTAACACTGAGAAAAGTATTTGCTAATGACACCAAGCAAGTGAAAAGGTGTAGTTCTATTCTGATTTTGGCTTATTGTCTACTTCCATTTGGAGCAAAGGCAGAATTATCAAGCAAGAAAGAGAAACATACAACAATAAGATAAGATGCACTAAGATTACTTGATGAGAGAAAAAGCACAGAAACTATGCAGCACACACATACTGACAGTAAAACTCATGACTGTTGCAGCCACGAGTTGCTAGCTAACCCAACACACCAACACACAGCCTCAGCCACCCACTCATACACTGAGCTCAACATAAACCAGAGTATTACAGTGCACTGTAGCAACGGACAACTTTTTCCCACACGCAAGTCTATTCTGGGATCTGTGCATATGTGTGTGTGTGTGTGTGTGTTTTGAAAGTTAAAGCACGGGTTTGTGAGTCTCTAGGAATGAACCGAGGATGAACTTCCCTGGAAGTGACCCGCATTTACCCTGGCAATGGAGGGAGGGACAAAGAGAGAGAGAGGGGGGGGGTATGCATTGAATAATGGAGAGACGAGTGTGCAGAGGTGGAGATAAACAGACAAACAAACGATGAGAGAAACTGAAAGAGGGTATCGGGTTCACCCAGAGAAAGAATTCCACCATAATGCCGAATCAGTGGTGGAGGGACGTAGGCTGAGTGTAGACTGAGAGGCCTTACAGTGCAGACATACACAAACGCACACAAAAGCATACAACTGTATGTCTGGTGTGTGTCTGTGGCCCAAATGAGTGGAATGAATACTGCAGAGGCAAGAAAGAGAAAAGTATCTCCATTTGCCATCTGACCATTGAACCTCTAACTGGGTCAAACATCACAACCGACCAGAATAGCCACATTGGCTGTGTGTGTGTGTGTCTCTCATTTGTGTAACTTCAACGTTTTTGGATTCTTCTGTCAGTCTGTCTGTCTAGATCTTCCGTGTATATGATGTTAGAAAGGGGCAATGATAACACATTTCATAAAGGGTATTTATATACAAATTAGATAGCTTTAGAACAAAGTTTAAAACATGAGACTTGATTTGACTTACAAATCAGTGTATTATATGTTTAATCCAGCCATATGAACTCCAGGAAAGTGGATGCATCAAGTGGCATGTACAGTAATCAGTCTCTACTTAGCCGTAACACTAATTTGTAATGATAGTTTGTGTTGTCCCACTTTACAAGTTTACAGGGAGGATTAGAGAAAGCAGGTGCTGGTGGGGTTGTGTGTGTGTGTGAGTGTGTGTGCGTGTGTGATCGTGCAGACAGGGCAACGTGCATTTGAACGTGATGTACCACAACATATTTGAATTTGTCCTGCGCGGGGGAACAACAAAAGCTTTTGTAGAGGAAAAACCGCATATTTGGCTGATGCTTTGCATGGCATGCAAAAGGAAGAGCAATGGTAAAGCGATGACTAGAAGTCAAGTTGGTATGGAAAATGGCACAACTAATAATTTTATATAGTATAATAATAATTCTACGTTAACATTTGAGAGGATGGACATATTCCAAAACATCTGCTGCTGAGATACAGGAAGCGTTTGTGTTGGGTGAGGGGGCTGTGTGTGTACCGGCTGACCCAGACTCTGTTCTCGTCTCTGTCCCAGTGTTGCTGCAGAAGAGACTCCAGGAGACTCATTATCAGCATTCTGCAGATTATTCTAACAAAGGCGATCGTCTTTACAGCTGTGCCCTGCTCAGCCTCTGTCGTCATCCCTTACAGCCATGTAAGGATGAATCCTCCGACAGATGTTTTTTGAAAGCATTTCTAAGCATTTTCTAAGTTTGTCCTTCTATCTGAATCTAAGTTGAGTCTTTCGGCGACTTTTGGACAGTAGTAGTAAGTAGAGTTAAAAAAAATGATTCTATAACCACTTTAGGTAGGGCATTACTAGGCACAGACAACCATGTTAATAATAATGACAATGTTTTTATACTAGTAAGCTGCTTAAGGCAACCAAAATCTCACATGAGGGTAAGCCGTCCTTATAAACGAGGCATTAATATGATATTTAGCTTTTTTTTTTTTTCTGTAAAGGTTTATCTTTGAATTTTATTTTTAAATCTACCTTATCTATTTTTTATTCCACTCTGTCTTATTATCGGCTCGTCAGTCATCTGTGAAGCACTTTGAACTGCCATAAAGTGTATGGAAAGTGCTACACAAATACAGCTTGAGTGATTGATTGATTGACAGCAGAACTACTAAGTGTGCTATCTTGTCTTGCAAAACTATAGCTAAATCCTAAGTATTAAAAATAGGATCCAATCAGTATTGACTGTACAAGCAGAGAACGAAAACACCCAGACTGAGCGCTTTTCAATGAGTGCTAATTGTTCCTTGTGATAAACACTCCATAGAAGTTCTACATACTACAAACTAAATGTTAACTGTCCCCAAGTCCCAATAATTGATTTTTTCTTTTGTGTATATAGCCGACATTGAGAGTGTATCAGGTTTCCAAGGCAGACATATAAAGCTCATCTGACACCACCCAAACACACTCATCAGCAGTCAAGATAAGGCTGCACAGCTGAGGGTACAGTAGCCGTGCTGCAGTAGGTATCAGGTGAGACGTAGCCTCACATTGCCAGTCCCGTCACGACTCTACGGCAGGGCTGTGCCAGCACAGCAGAAAGGGCTGGCAGGACATAGTAGGTCAAACTGTTCTGGGATGATTAAATTTCTTAGAACAATCACTTTTAAAAGGCAGGGCTTAGCTGTACTAGGCTTACTGGGACATTTTACACACGGCTTAAACTTAAACTTTAAACGGGCAAAATGCGAGATGAAAGCACACAAAGCAAACCACCGGCCCACTGACTGACCGTGTTGTGATCAGACGAGGAGGAGGAGGCTGCAGAGGGCGTGGGGGAGTGCTGGTGGTTGTTGTTGGTGATGTTGCCGGGGGACGAGATGTTGTTCTTGAGGGAGCTGCGCTGAGGGGTGTCACAGTAGTCCGCTGGGGGGAGCACCATGGTCGCCTCGTCGGTCTCCGTGTCCTGATGGTGGAGGTTGACCACGCTTCTGCTGCGGTACGGGGCAGGGGACACGCTGCAGAGGAGCGGGAGGAAGAGGAGAGGAGGGTGGTATGAGAGGTGAGGGGATGGGGTCAAAACAAAAAGACAAGAATAGAGCACAGACATATGAAGAGTGGAGACGGGAGAAGAGGGTAAAAGAGGAGAGGAACAGTGCCACTTAATCAAACTAATTACAGGACTTTGCATGAGCCTCCTGGCATGTGTGTGTGCTCCTGTATTTCTATCTTCACGCGCTGTATCTTGGGTTTACGGTTACTTCTGTTATATAATTAAAATAAGGTTAATCTTAAAGTTGATGTTAGGTTTTTAGGCATGATGTTAAGATTAAGCTAATGGGACTAAGTATCAGCGGATGGTCCTCATAAGGACAAAAGGACAGGGATGTGTATGTGCGTTGTTATTGTATGTCCCGCAGCGCTGCTTACAGTTTAAACTTTCTGTTTCCCTGACTAGTAGCAGTTGGCTGGCAGCGTCTCTGTGGGAGGTGCAGCACATTAAGATCTAATAAATTAATCCGACAGGGATTAGTCTCTTTGAAGAAGACGCTGGAGTTAACTCTCTGAACCTTCTCCCTCTCTCTGATCAGCAGCAAAATCTATTCATCAGCACACAACATCCTGTTTCCTGATATTTTGCTGAGCTTGTCTGAAAAAGTCCAATTTTAGATTCATTTCAGTAACACAGATTTCAGTGTTACACAATCAAAAAGACACATAAAAGTGTTGACGGGGGTCTATGAAACAAATATAAACAGAAAGGTTTCATACGGCTAAATGATTGAAGAGACTGAAAGCAGACTGTGACTTCAGCACAACAGGAATCAAAGGTTGAGGAATGGGAGAGCCCCCCGTAGGATTAGAAAGGTTATCACTAACAGGAGTAACTAGAGGAAACACTGCCAACAATACAGCTGGCTGCAACATGAAACCTGCCTCTGTGTGTGTGTTAGCTTGAACGTGGAGTCTCCTTACCTGTTGTTATTCACGAGAGGCTCGGAGAGTGCACGGCAGTAAGATGAAGGGAACCAGCCCCTCCTGCGAGACACGGACAAAGAGAGAGAAGCCAAGTTAGGGATGATTACATCTGTGGTCCATCCTACTGCCAGCTTCCCTATCGGCTCTCGTTGCACATCAATCTGAAAGCTTCTCTACATGATTAGTGGAGAGCTCTGCTGCTCTGGTCTCAGCTCAAATGATTTCACCCCTTAACCAGAAGACACAGAGACAGACGGAGGGGATAAAGACATACAGGCAGATATGTGCCTGTGGTAACTATGGTGTCAAAAAGCTGTAATTCATCACAGAAGAGGCATCCTGATGAATGCATGCTTCTGATTTGTAAAGAGAGATCATCAAATGGCATTTCTTTATTTTGATGGATTTTATCTTTCCTGACAACCAATCTTCCCTGCTGGTTAGAGACCATGTTTTCTCAGGTGCAAACAGACTTAAATGAATTAAGAACTTGTGGTCAAGGTCTTATCTCAAACCTGCTGGGCTGAAACACAATTAGGAGTGTTTGCTTGGGGCTTGAATGAATCTTTGGTTTAATAAATGAGTCTCAGTGAGACCTATGAGGTTTCCAGTGACCTCAGTAAGGGAATTTCGAGCAACCATTTGTTCCTGCCCACACGCACACCAAAATAAACTTGACTTTAATATAGCGTTGGAAAACATAGTGAGCACATCGTGATGAAGGTAGCTGAATGATTAAATTAAAGCGATTTTGTTCCAACTATTTCTCACCTTGATCTGATGAAAAAAAAAAGGTTTATTTCATCTTGAAAACACATTTAAAAAATAATTCACATGCAAGACTGAAAAGGTTTAAGAAATGAGTAACAGCCAGTCTGTGCAGACCAAGGACTGTGTGTCATTGTGCTGTTATGGTACAAGATTGTTCGTAATCAGTACGTAGACAATCAGCCTGTACCCTATGTGGATAAATGTTAATATTTGCACATCTGGACTGGAGGATAGGCGTTTGCTTCGTGTACCTGCGATAAAAAAGACTGGAAAATACACCTCACTCAGTCACACTCATATTAATAATAGCTTTTATTTATTTAGGGAAGGGTTTTCCACTGAGAACAAATGCTCATTTCCAGCAATAATGATACCGCAGGCTACTGAACAGGTTCACTGAAACAACTTGGCATTAATGAAAACCTTGCTCAAGGACAGCTCACTAGTACTTGGGGTGTTGACTTTCCCTGACACAGTTTTCTTGGCAAGGCAAGCAAAACTCTAACAAGCTTGCTCGGATAATAAGACAGTGGGAAAAGCAGGGAAAGTGGCCACGATAATAGTACCTGTCGTTATATGTCACACTGGTGTGTCATTTGTAACCAGTGCATTTGTATGCTCACTGTGATTCAAATGTATCTCTATCTTGCTGACATTCATTCCTCTGTCCGTCAACAGTGTGTGTGGGTATCTGAATCAGTCTAGGTGTTGCCAGGCGCGTTGCCGGGATACACTATCAAAGCTGATATAAGACAGAGGGAGAAACCCAGCGAGATACCCAAAAGCATCAAAGCCAAACCTCTTGTGGGACACAAAGTCTATCTTGTCAGATGCTGCGCTCTGATAAACATGATGATATACACTTTTTAAGCCTTTAGGCACTCTAGTTTGTCCCGCTTGCAGCCACGAGGCAGCAAGACCAAAGTTTTACTTTGCAGCAGGCTCACTTTTGAAAGCTACTCAGAAATGATTCCTTTCTGCCCTTGATCAATTTTTTGGGATAAATTTGCCAGGTAATTTCCCTTGGTAGTGATAAAGATCAAACCTGATGAATGATTCAGATTCAGAAACACACTTGCAAGGGCTTCAGATCAAATCCCTGTTTAAAAAGTCAGACATCAGAGACCCGAGGAGAGCGGGCTTGGTTAGTGTCGGCCTGTGTGGGAGCAGGTGGTATTCTGAACTTCTCTCTCTGCCGCGCTCGAGTCCGCTATCGTACATCCCACCCTCAGGCCATACTTTACTTTGATTTCCTTATCAGTGAGTGTTCCATCTCAGGCAGCACTCTGCAAGCCTAGGGCTGTGTGTGTGCGTGTACGTGGTCAGCATAACAATAAGGCGAGGGACCATCTGGCCAGTAAGGACAATGCGGTCCAACTCATAGCAATCACCTGACTGGTAGGAAGACAGAGGAGCATGACAAGCATATTTAAAACAATTGATGACAAGACCGCGAAGATCGGTGGTGATTACAGTAACATCACACAAGACGGAACCATTTATTTTTCATATTCATTGAAATATAAAAAGGTAGCGGGGGTATATATTGATTGCGAGTGTGTGCTCATACATAAGCGCATGTAATCATGTCCTTGTGTACATTGAAGCACATGCGCATGCCTTCCCTTATTAATGTAATTATAGCCTTCAGTAACACACAGTTCCAGACAAAAGCAACACGTGTGATTCGACTCACTTTCCATTCTTCTCCAGTTCGCCGTACATCCACCCATCTCTCTCGTCAGGAATGAGGAGGATGATGACGTCTCCCTCATCAAAGCTGAGCAGTGTGCTGTTGTTGCCGGCAGTGTGAGGGAAGATGGTGCGCACACGTGGCCTCTTCACTATATTGTTGAGGCCTGTGGCGACAGACACAGACCTGGCAAGATTGTTCTCCTCGCTGGGGTCTGGGAGGGAAAGGTAAGAATGAAGAGTCACAGTGAGAAAACAACAATAACGACACTAGACGACAAGTGTCTTTGCTAGTTTCCGACACTCTGCTTGTTACACACACACAGGGACCTGCAGCAGCACGCCTCATCCTCAGTTAAATATCATTGCATTTGCAGTCAAACGGAGTTGTGGGAGACACCGTAGGCAGAGGGTCCACTGGCCGAGGACTACATACCTATCCCTAAGCGAAGACGGGTGTCGTTGTAAACTTTGCTTATCCCGCCAGGCTGCAACAGACATCTGTAATCTCCTGTCAGATCATTTTGGAGACTAATGCCAGCTGTCCCTTTGCACTCCCTGTTGCTGTCACTGCTGCGCATCATTTCTTTGCAAGTGACCAGCGTGAGTTGTATACATAGGGACAGCTGCCATTAGACTCCAAATCACCCGACAGAAGATTACAGATGTCTGTTACAGCCTGGTGGGACAAGAGCCTAAGAAACTCGGTTTCCTCAGCAGAAAACCTGCTACATCCAATACAGTAGTTGTCAAGTCAGCGGATCACAGGTGTCATTAGGATGTTTCCTCTTGGGACCATGAATATCTGTAGCAAATGTCACAGCAACCCATTTAACGGTTGTTGGGATATTTCAGTCTGGACCAAAAAAGGTGGACCATCTGTCAATCATTTATAATTAACATTTATTTGAAGCAATGAAAGGGCAGCAAACTGCAAAGAAATAAAGTGATATCGAAACCCAAACCCCAGTGAAGCAGATGCTATTGTTCTGAGCAACAAAAAGGCCTTTAGCACTTAACGAAAAAACAGACAGTTCTACTCGCTGTCTTGAAAAGCACAAGCTTAAAGCCACAATGGCACAGTGGGATGTGCCTAATGAAAACCAATGCCATACTGCATGCCATAATACCTGTGCTGTTGTTCTCCTGGCTGAACATGTTAGCCAGAGGACTGGTCTGAGCCTTCAGAGCTGGGGCCGCGGGAGCGGTCATGTTCTGCAACAAGAACATTCATGATAACGTTAGCATGTTGGCAGCTGTATAGGTGTGCTGTTACTTATATTTGACTGTTTAAGTACATTAGACTGAACACAACACCCAGTTAGTGGTAGGAGCCTCATAAAAAAACTACACATAAACCTATAAAGCATATTTATCAAGATGTACAAATTTACGATCTTGTAAAAGTGCCAGTTCCAAATTACCGATACAAGAGGATCATTATCTTGCAGTAGTTATTGTAAGTTAAACATAAGGGGTGACAATTATGTTAATATTAAGCTACATTACGCTAATTTAATTAACACATGCTTAACCTTTATTAAATATGAATTTTTATATCAACTCCACATCTTGACGAACACCATTCTCTCTTCATTAATATGCAAACCGATGCAAGGTGCTCTGAAATCTAAATCACATCATCTCCTCTGTCAGATGAAAGTCTGGTGTAATTATTAGGTATCTGTCATGAATCAATCTTGAGATATCGTGTTCTACCGCACAAAAGAGAAAATAACTTTGACACAAGGCAGCAACAGATCGAGCACAAGCACACGTCTTCGTTTGTCCCTCCCATCATACCACGCTGTGCCGTGACGGGGAGGGAGAGGGCATAGGGGTAATGGAGACGGGCGTGCGCAGTCCCTCGATCATCGTCAAGATACTCTCGGGCATGTCGGTGGCGTTGTTGCACTGGTCCTGCCAGCTGCTCAGCTTTGCCGTCAGAATGTCTCTGGCCTGTCCAGCAGGCACGGGCATAAGAAAATACATTAAAAGAAAACATGAGTAATGAGTAGAAAACAGTGCACACATTTCTATCACTATGGTAACACCATGTATTGAGAGTCCTCCGATTGTGGGGTTTGGAATAAATTGTACTGGCTGTTTTTTGTTAAAATTAGATTTAAAACTGTTTTTTTTTCCTCTGGAGGGTCTAAGCTTTTCACCACCACTGCGACATAGCCAGTAAGGTGTTAAGTCGAGGAAAAGAAAAATGTTCTCCTTGACTGTAACATAATGAGAGTCTTTTGTACCTTGTCGTGGAAGGAAGCGAACTGGTAGGAGAACATGCAGTGTTTGTCCACCAAGAAACAGAAGCGTCTCTTCTCCTCCAGCAGAGCCTCCTTACAGCCGTCCGCAATGAACAACTGCATGTCCATCTGACGGCTTGTCAACGTTTCCAGGCACTGAAAGCAAACACAGGTGCACAATTCACTATAATATAATGTAATATAATAGAAGTCAGTTTGTTTTTAGTTATCCACGTCTTACAAACTACCCTCTAAATAAATCCTCATGTCTTATCTACCTGGCCACATGGTTAGCAGCCATCGAGTCCCTTTCACTGCAGATCTGCACACAAACCCAACAAGGGCAAATGATATGAAAGAAGCAGGGTTCCTTTCTGAATATCCTAATCTCTCTCTTGCAGGGGAAAAGGGGTATTATTAGTTTACACTATCGACAGATTAGCTTGCATTAGGTGTTTAGTCAAAGGACAGAGCAACAGGAGGAAGACGGGACAGCGCGCAGCAGTTGTAGGGAGGGGATGTCTTATCTACACTGGCAGACAGAAAAGGTCAAAAGGCTACTGAAAGGACCTTGGACTAGTTTGTGTCTTTGTGCATGTGTGTGAAGTGAATCAACACTGTCTTAACTGTCAGCTTCGATCTTTCCTTCCCCTTAAACTTATTTTATCATCTTCACTGTATTGGTTTATTTGATAGCGTTATTTTGTGAATAAGAATGAACACAATAAAGCTTCATAAAGACTCATTTCCATTTCTTTTACTCTAGTAAATGTGTTGTATAATTGTGTATGTATTATTAATGTGATTTCTGGCTCATGCAATGCATATGTATGATTTTTCTTGCTGCACAGAAATAGTGTTTACAATTAAACCAATCGTTCAGGTCTCAAAAAGAGCAATACACCCTATAGTTAGAACAAGAAAAAGAAAATCTGAGTAAGTGAACCTCTTTTAACTTTGTCAAAGCCACACGTCAGATCCATATCGTCATCCTCATCCAGCTGGCTGGAACAGGCACGCCTGTAACGGCTGTTAATGCAATGGCACACACCCTCTCTATTCTCTTACAACCGTCCTCTTCTGATAAAAGGCTGAGGGCTTTATTTACCAGGAAGCTGTGGTGGGTTAAGTGCATTTACTGTGTTAATCTATGTCCAGAAACATATTGCACAGGGAAATCTGGCAGCAATCTGGTAGGAGAATGCGCTAAGTAAGTCTGTCTGCCTGACCGAATGAGAATCCGTCCGTCCATCTCTCCAATTCCAGGAAGTCTCTACATGAACCCGTCCATTAAGAGCTGATGATATCTCACTTCATACCCGGTGTTATGATAACAGGCTTACCTTCATGGCTACATGTCAACAAACAAGCAAATGCAAATTTATGATGGAAACATTCACACACAGTCACAAATAGCACTTCTTTTTGTTAGTGTCCAGCTGATTTCCCTTTATTTCCCTTTTTCTGACCTCTGTTTCTTCCAGTGAAGAAACCCTGCTCACCCTACTGCTATAAGGGCAAACTTTACTGAAGCACAATCCAATTACAAATATTATAATTACAAATTCCACCAAAATAAAAAATATATAAAAATAACTCACCTTCATGCTATTCAAAACAAATGTAAAGTATACTCCTACTTTGTTGACTTCCAGATTCTGTTATAAATATGAAAAGCCACTGGTATTTGGGATAAAAACCGCAGAGTGAGGCAAGGCTGTGGTTTCACTTTCCACTTTCTTCAACATCTATATGAATAAATAAACCAGCAGTTACTTCCAAGTTACAAAAATAGTTCATATTAGTTAGTTGGATTCTGCTGATTTTTTTTTTAATTATAAATGTAATCAAAACCCTTCCCCCCAAATCTTTCACTTGGAAAGGAACAGAAGTGTGCGCCACAGTAGCTGCTTAATATGCAACACTGTATTTCCAACAAACCAAATGATTACCTAAATGAATGCAGTAGAAACAGTTAAAGTATAAACAATAATTACACAAAAAAAAAAACATGGCGACGCCATTTTCAACACATCAGCTGATATTTATAAAAGAAAAATTGTGCCACCTCACACACTTGAAAGCAGGCGTACACGCAGTTTTCTAGAGTTAGCTGCAGGTGATATGATGATAAGAGGACATGGAAAATAAGGTGAGAGACGAAACCGTGTCATAAAACACTGTTTGTTTAGGTTATTTGCCCGTTTTATTATTTAAAGTATTAGTCATTTCTTTTGGCAAATTGGAAATGCTGTAGCATTTCATGCCAATAAAGATATTTTGAATGAATACAATTGAGCGAAAGACGGAGAAAAAGAAAAAGAGAGAGTGAGCACCTTTACAGAACTGTAGAAGTGGGCGGAATAATTTCTTCTAACAAGTGGATGAGGGAAAAAAGGGGGAGTGTGAAAATGCTATTTCAACACACGCATACACACCCTCTTAATCACTTTACATCTGTCAACACTGCAGTGAGCTTGTTGCTATGGACAACCTATGTTTATGCCGAGAACTATGGATAAGAAAGAGCGAGGAATGGCAACGGGGAGACAAGACATGAAGAGAAAAACACACTTTTACCTCGTTGACACATAACAGCCTCCATACATATCTCAATCTTTGTTTATCTTCTGTACAGAGAGGATAACTTGCCCTCACTTCTTTTTTTAGAGAGCCTTTTAATCAATTGTTTGACAGTTTTGACAGCTCTCTGAATCCCCTCTCCACTCTTTGACAGATCGTACTCTGGCTTTGAAGTGTCTTTGCTGTCTGGTGAATCATCTGCTGCTGTAAACTCTTAAGCCCTGACACCCTGTCTGTCTGTTAGCTGGCCCATCTCTGTCTGTAAGGTGTCTAAATCCTAATACCTGGCCTTAAATCAGATAAGTGAGCACTTTGACTCATGGCTCGGTGGGAAGGCGAGGGGAGAGAAGAGAAGGAAAGAGGAAACAGAAGGAAGTGGAGGAGGGATGGAGATAATGTGGGAAAAGAGTAAGGAGGAATGAAAAAACAAAAGAATGAAAGACATGAGAGAGAAGAACAGTAACAGTAGCTTTCTTCTATTTTTTTAGGTCCAGTTGCTCTAACATATATGCATTTATTTAAAATACATTGTAATTTATGCTATAAAGCATTTCAAATTGTCCACCAAAACTTCACATGGCCAATAGGTGACATTTAAATTTCTTGTTTTGTCTGACCAAAATCCGAAAAAAAAAGCGGAAACTAGAAAATGTTTCGAATTTTAATGACTGTAAAAAGAACTGAAGAGATCTTTAAACTTGACATCTCTGCAATTCAGGTTTATGTAATTGGAGAGAGTGATTAATAATTGTTGTAATTGTTTCTAGGCAATAATACATAAAAGTCGATGTAGAAGGTTAGAGCTGCAGTAACCCTATATTGGTAATACAATTCCTTGTGTCAGTCCATTTTGATTCTCTCTCTCACTTTAACTCTGCTAGGATAGAGGGAGGATGGACTGTGTTGACAAAACACACAAACTTCACAGATGCACAAATACACACGCACACGCAGCACAGCCAGGAAAACAGTCTGCCTGACTGGATCGACGGTAGGGAGGTTATGTAAGATCTGAGGCTGCCTACCTCACAGGTCACAGATTTGAGATTAAACTCTTCTGCCATTTTTCTTCTGTAGAGTCACTGTTAGGGTGTGGTGGCACCATTTAATGACAACTTAAACCCGCTGTAATGACTCAACATGCCACAGTGATTAATTGACACATCAGGTAAACCACCTGGAGTTTCTCCTCTGCTCTTGGAGGGCTGAGCTGCATTCAAATGGTTGCAACTTGCAACTTCACCTCTAGATGCCACTAAATCCTGCACACTGGTCCTTTAAACAAACATGTCTCAAAAGTCCACAGGGATTAATCCATACTTCCTCTTTTGTGTTTGATGTGGAAGCAAAGTGTTGCTATAAATGGGAATATCCACTTTACACATTTTGCCCGTGGTTGTCGCAGATATCGGTTTATGATCAGGTGACCGCCAGCTATTAAGCGTGGCAGCACATAGTCAAAGCAGATCATTGTACAGTAGTTTATATCTGGCAACTCTGGTTTTAACGGGTGCATGCGGGTGGAGCAAGAGAGGCTTGCGTACGGGTGCAAAGCAAGCCAACAACAAACATACATGCTCTCTTGCATGACTGCACAGACCAGACACTTCTCTCATTGTCCCCACCTACAGTTACACTGGCTTTGACATGGTGCGTCTCAGGTGTCAGTGTTTGTGAATGAATAAGTGTCTCTGTGATCATGTCTATGCGCACATGAACACGCCCGTGTGTCTCAAAGAAAGAGCACCCATTTATGCTGCGTCACGTGTCTGTAAGTGTGTCTACATCTATCTCACCTCGCTCTCCTTGTTCTCGTACTTGTTGGCGTTCTTGCCTTGGCTTTTTCTCCTCAGCTTCTTCAGGTCTGACTGGGACCTTTCCAGAGAGTCCTGTTTCATCTTGTGCTCCATCTGGTACCTCTTAAACGTGGCCTGGAGGAGACGAATGATCCACGTGAATGATGATATTTGCCAGAGCCGTGTCAGGCAGCAGAACATTAAGAGTGAGTTTGCACTATTAGAATAACTGGCTCAATACTAATTTGCAAGTTCAGTTCAGTGGTATAAAGTTACATATCAAAAAGTCTTCCTGTACAAACTCATCTATCACAATATCAAGTATGCTGTCAGCTTTTATAGAAAATTTCTAAACATTTATCAATATATTTATTTAATATATGTCTTAGGCCAAGTCCACACTGCAGACAGAAGTGGCCCAAATCTGATTATTTTGCTCAGTGTGAACAGCACAAACACATGGAATATGGTCTTTCCAATTCTGACGTGGGTCACTTTCATCTGTGGTCCAAATCAGATACAAGTCACGTGACCCTCTGTGTGAACATTCATATCAGAATTCATGTAAGTTTTACGTCACTCTAGGTCAACATTTATCATGCGTGTCACTTTAGGACCATGTCCTGTTCACACTGGAATGGGCCACATTAAAAAAAAGAATGTGAACAGCCAAACAAATCAAAATAGATCTAAGCAATAAATCAGAATAGAGCGCTAAGACTTACAGTGTGAACGTATTTTAGTTCCATTGGTTCCATCAGCCATTCAGCCAAGAAGCAATTTTGACATTATACAGTAATTACTAACATTAACGTTTGTTAAAGCATTCAAAACATGCTTGCTGTACCACTTTGACTCATGTTGCTGCGGTAAACCAGAACCTTTTTTCTGCGTTGTGTTGCAGCAATTACTCCCATTAGGTCATAAGTGAATTTCCATGACTGCAGACATAATGACAAGAATTATAGCACTGAATTAGCTTACGGTTTAAGTGAGTGAGTGTAAATGAAACCCTCATGTCACCGAGTGATCACAGTTTTCCATCCATCTACCTGCTGATGATGACAATTACCGATAATCAAATGTTTTACACAAAGGCCCCTTAGCTTACAGACCTGTTTATGTGTGCTTCCCAATCATCCCCTGTAGCCAACTAATAAACACTAATAGACAACAAACCAATGATGAGGACAAAAACATAAAGAAACATGGCAGTGTGTGTTGAGGGGGATGGATGGAGAGCTGCTGCCACAGGATGACTCAGACACACACTGTTGTGCAAGCACACACACACACACATACATACACTAAAACTACTCACTGTCATGTATTTGACATCCATGTCGGTCTTTCTCTCCAGCTCGGTTATTATCTCCCTGTGGAACCTCTTAAACTTCAGGTGAGGAGGAGGAGGGACCAGAGAGAGGAGAGGGGAAGAAGACACACTGGTGATTATAAACTCAATGGGAGGATGGAGTGCAACAGTTTGTCAGCTTTTCTGTCAACACCAAACATGGGAAATACTGTAAGTCTCAAAGAGAGAAATGGAGAGTGATCATTTAAAGTGTATCGGTGCGTGTGTGCGGGGGTGAGAGCCGAGTCCAAGGTTGCGCTTATGAATGAGTCAGAAACAAAGCGTGGGAATGCCCACAGACTTCTCTCCCTTTCTCTCCAGCTCCCTCTCATTAGTGCGAGGGTGTCGAAGCATTCCCATCACCAAAGCCTTGTTCAGAAGGAGCGCAGAATGGATTACTGAACACACACACACACAGGACCACGGAGACCTTGTCGCACACAACACACACCCTCATCGTAGCCTGTGAAAGGTTTTCTTCCATGATTTTCTCTGACCTGAATTGATGCTGTGACTCACCAACTGGAGTCCATTAACAAGTCAACCCACTCACTGATGCTGTTAGCAACAATGTCTCAGAGGAGTGCCTCGCAACTTTTCTGCCCCAAAGTTCAGTTTTAACAGGTTATTTTCAAACTCTGCTTTAATTTATTTTCCCAAAGTGTAAAGATCTGATAGTTCTGTGAGGGCTTGATTAGCGATATAAATATT